TAAATTTTCATATGAAAGGTCTAAAGGAAGATAACTAAACAAAAGCAGAAAACAGAATAATCGCTCAAAGGTAAACTCTAAATTTGTAATTTTCCCTGAGAAAACGTTTTTTTTTCGGCTTACGTATAATCAGCCACACCGGTCCTACTCTTGGGTACCTCCCATCATCGTGGTGTATTCAATGAAACTTGATTTAAAGTTGTCTCTGTAAATAGTTTCATGTAAAAGCTGAAAAATGAACCGCAAACTTAGTAGCGTTATAAATTTAAACGGGTCAGTTTAATTGTTAAAATTCACTCAGCAGCAAGGCCTATCTCATTTACGTGCAATCTCTTCCTCTGGCGTAGCTGGTCATGTCCACGCTGTGTAGTCCTTCGCTCCAAAGCTGAAATCAAGGTATTTTACGTCATATCTAGATTTCGATGAGGAAAATTTTGTTTTTCTGACATAGTACGGTATCATCATTCTCACTTAAATACTTTGGATAATGGAACGAGAATTCGATACTAGATTCTAAATCCCACACTTTTGTCGTCTCAATTTTGTGATTAAGGTGATTTCTCAGTTTTGCACTGCGCATCTCATACTGCGTGTAAAAATTACCTAGTCAGGGGAATGAGTACCCGTGCATTCTGAGAACACGGTATTGTTATCAATCCATGGACCGGGTAGAGAGGAACGATACTCTTTAGCTCTCGAATGAGCAGAGTGACCTAAATTCTTTTGCATGATTTTGGTGTACAATTTGTCCCCTTTAAAACTGGGAAATTTAAAAAAACTCTTCGAAGAGAAAAAAAAAGATAAAGTTAAGAGCCTGCCCGTTACTCCAGGATGCAAATTGACGACCTTTGAAAGGAAAGACTCATGGAACGTTTTGAGTCGACGTCATTTCAATTTGCGTGATTTTCCCACAAATTATGTATCCACTTGTTCCCTATGCTCGACACTTCTGCCCATCAAGTTTTTCCAAGAGTTGCTCAAAAAGCCCTCCCAGCCCCAGCACTGTGAACCGATGAATTGATGCGCTTGATTAGTGCCAGTACAGGCATAAATGTGATAAGTTTGGCCCACTTAATCTCCTAGAAAAGCACGGTAACCGATCTTTTTTTATTGTATTTTCGAAACAGAAATTGACGAGGAACACTAAATGAAAGTTTAAAAGAAAATTGTTGGATAATCTTTCTTTCTAAGAAATCAGCTCAAAAGATGAGTAACACGAGTTGAGGTGAACCAACCAGAGAAATCTACGGAAAAAACCTTCATGCGATCACGCCCTTCATTTTTATTTTCGGTGCCGAGAGCCTAATTTGCAAAGATTTTTCTGCACCAAAGCGTCGACAAGCTTCGCGCAAGGTGCATATTACAAGAGGCCAAGTGGCCAGTTAAAAGTTGACGGGTACTGACGAGCCTGCATGACACTCCTGCCATCCGCAAGCGATTTTAAACTTCTGTCTTCAAAGATTATATCTGACCGGGATTTATTTTAATGATTTTTTTTCCGGTGTAATTTTGAATAAGGTGCCATTTTCCCACCAGTGTGTTCTTGAGGATCGGATCGGTAAAGCCGCGTGTTTTTGCATGACAAAAGGCAATCTTTTCTTCTTTGTGCTGTTTTCTTTGTTTATTAAGTGACCCTTCTCTACTGGAGCAGATAACCCCAGACTGTATTTCTTCAGAACTTCGTCAGGTATCCGTTATCCCCTTCTTTAGTCGTATTTTTATCTCTGAACGTTTTTATTTAAATGTGGAGCGCGTCGCCAAAAAGTGTTTACAGACCGGCACGATTTCTGCTAAGCGTTGAGTTAATATGAACGAATTTCTCCGTAGAGGCGTGGGGTTGACAAGGATCCTTTAAGATGCTACATCAAAATCATTCATAAAAAATTGAAGGTTTTGCTAACAAAACCTTACAAAAGGTTTTGACAAAAAAAAAAATCAAACCAGATTTTAGTGGTTCGTTTTATACCTAAACTACTATTCATAACACTCATGATGATATGCGAAGTTGAAATACATTTAATAATGGGTATGTCATGGCTAGTTGAGCAGTCTCACGGCTATTTACATAATTTCCGATATTAAATTCTGGTTTGGCGTGAAAATGATTCATTCTAGCTCAATTTTCAGCGGAGCCACGAAGAGGTGAACGGCCCACCCTCCCCCCCTGAAAAATTCCCGTTGGTCGTATCGTATCTTGAACACTTTTGTCCCAGCTTGGCTTAGCCCGCTGATCAGTCATTTTTCCCATACCTTATTACAACTGAGCATGGGGATGAATGTTGATGAATCAAATACCGTTTTAACTTTACTGATTTCTCTTTACTTAACAGCCTTACGTGCGTGAACATTGTGTTGCGCTTATTATATCAGAAATATCATTTTTATGTAAAAAAAAACAAATAAATTCTTGAGTACGTAACCAATGCATCTTTCTGAGAATATTGGAAAAGAAAGCACAAAAAATTGAACTAGATCTTCCCTAATTTGGGATAGCTCTTTTTTTAATTTTAATGAAATACCGGATAGAGTACTTTCTCTTCTTTTTTCTATTAATTTAAAAAGTCTATTAAAAAACTTTTAGCTCTGTTCCCTTCGAGCAGTTCTCATCATTCACCCTGTCGGGGTCTCTTTTCTCTGTCAAAAGGTGAAAAACAACGGTTATTATTAACTCAACTAATATTTTAGACACAAAACAAATACAATTATACCAAGCACAATATGTAAAAATATAAATGACTAACACCTGTGTCTGATTGGCAGAGAGGCAGCTTATTTATAAAATGTACTATAGTACCATTATAACTAAGCAGATTTACATAATGCTCATCTTTCGTCAGAAAAGAGACATTTGGAAGCTCTGACATGTTTTACATTTCGAATTTCCCGATCCCCTTGAAAGATTTATGGGTTGTTCTTGTGTTATAGTTCCTTTAAGTAATAGGTAAACATAGCAACATAACATTTTTTTTTAGTCCTAAATTTTAATATGAAATATGGCTGCTGCCATTGATTTTAGTCACTCATCGTAGTTTGAACATTTTTGTATTGCCTGTTTGTTTTGTTGTTGTTGTTTTTTTTCCATTATTTCCAGTTAAGTTTAAATGACTAAGACTATGTTGACTTTTACAATTTCGTTGCTAAGGAACAATAACTTCTTTAAGAATCGACGGTATAAGCTATAAATTCACAGAAATATCATAAATCACATATCAGTAGAAATTCACAAATGCTGCAATCTGATTGGCTACGCAACTACGTAGCCTCATACTGTCCAGGTGTCTAAAAAAACCATGAGCCTGTTTCGTTGTTAAGTTTTGAACGAGTTCAACTTAGAAACAGTTAAATCATTCGCTTTTGATTTCTCTGTGTGATAATTGATTCAGGCTTGGCCCACGTCAACGACCACGCGAAAGAAATCTTGAGCTCATAGGGCAATTTTCAATCCAAGATTACGTTTGTTTGTTCCACTCTGTCATTGATCCAGAAAACTTGGGCCACTCTCTTTCAACCAATCAGATGCAAAACTAAAACCAACCACGACTTAGTCGCCCGTGTTTTCCCGCGCTTTAGACAGGTTGTGTTCACTTTGATTTCTCTTGGCTCTTCAGAGTATTTTTTTCTTTTAATTGGCTGTTGGGATTACTTTGGTTTCAGTTTTACGACACTTAGTCAAAAAGCGCTCCACCCGAAATTTCAAGGGTTAAATATGAACAAAACTGGGAAATGTCACCCCAACTCAACAAGAGAGAGAAATTCACAAACGGAGCAAAAATCGTCAGGCAAGTCGTCGTTCCATGTAATAGCGCTACTCTTAATTTCTTAATCCACCCAAAGGAAGTAGTGCAACTGATTCTACGTGATATCAGTACGACATGCGCGCAAAAACACGTAAGCGTATCTGTTAACCACAGAGTTGTTTGGCCTTAAACATCCTGCAATTCACCAGCCAGTGGACAAAAGCCCCCCACTAAAGAATTTCCTTCATGTGGCTGGCAGTTTACAGCGGTTCAAATCTCCGCTGCATCACTTTGCTGCTTAAAATCCTGTTGTGACTATAACTGGAAAGTTTGCCTCCAGTCTCTTCTGTTCCATTAGCTATCTTTAGTACTCGTAACCAGGCTTCTTCTCAGGTTTCAATTCCCGGCCTCGAGGCTGTGTGATAACAGACACGTTAAAAATGAGTTTTCCACTGAATTTCCAGTTGCTAATTATGGTAAAAACCTCTATAACTGATTTTGCATAGATATCCTACATGCTAACTTTTAAAACTTGTGACTAATCCATTTTATGACTAATCACTGGTATTCCAGTCGCTAGTTGTACTAAAAACTTCTGGACCTGTTTTCGCAAGGATATCCTACGTGCTAACTTTTAACACTGATAACAAATAAATTTTTGGTATGTGTGATTTGTTCAGACAGTTAGTCCACGCTGTGTAATAACACATTACACAGCCATCCCTTCCAACAAGGTTAATGCAGCTGTTTATTTTGTTGTTGTTGTTTTTGTTTTGTTTTGTCTTTTCGTTTCAGGGCCGTAAAGGTGTTGCAAATACGGCCACCAGGCCTGAGAATTCACATCCACTTTCAAGTCAGGAAGTCCTCATCAGTGACTTAAGACAGAATTTCTCCTTACAATATCAAAACAATATACAGCAGACAAGTTATGCCAACAAAAAAATTAGCAATTAGGGGATTATCAGTTGATCCATCAACAAATTCTCCGAACTAACATCTAAAGAATCGTAAGACAGACAGTAAGGAGAGTTAATAAAAATATCTTGGGAGTGAAAGGGTTAAAGGATACAGCCTTTCAGCGAGAAGCCAGTATGGCGATTAGAATCATTAACGTTATGGTAATAAAAAACTTGAATAATTTATAATTAATTTAGTGAACCGAATTAAAACGATAATTGTGTTAACAAATAGAACAAACCAAGTTGACCGTTATCCGATGTTCTGCCAACGCGTTGCAAAATATTTGCATTTTTTCACGTTTTGGACATAAAAAAAGTTTCTTACCTTTATAAAAACATTGGTCGGAACCAATTTCTGCGCATGTTCATCCCAGCTAACCTGAAAGCGAGGCAGTTTGAAATGCAGCTTGGGAAGAGTCAAAAACCCGGCGTAAAGAGGGTACAAACTGAACTTGAGCCTGTGATCGCCAGTTGGCAGCAGACGAAATTGAATCTGGAAAAGAAATTCATCGTTAAAAACTATTCACAAAGTTGCGTTGGCTTCTGGCAAATTCCGCCCACGTTTCTCGTAGATAAATGGCAAAGGATATTGGGAGTTTGAGTAGCCAATCACAGCGCAGTAGCCAATAATATACTTCTTCAAGTATATTATTTCACCAAACCCCCTCGCATGAGACATGTTTTACGTTTAGCAAGTAAGCTGAACTAACCTGTTTATGACCTGAATACATAAAGGCGTCACTTGGCTCTACGGTGACTTCGACTTCCTGGACTTGAAGCGTTCTATTGCGGACGAGATAGCTTACGAAAAGTGGAGTCTGTACACAGCCGTATGCAGGCAAATCTGAAAAAAAAAAAAAAAACGGTACAATAAATACATTTTTTTCCTTTGGTCTTGTAACGAGGGCGTGTCCCCATGAGGATTAGAGCCCCAGAACTTCGAATTCCGCTCTCGAATGGCAAGCTCTACTTTTTCTTTGTCCCACGCTTGTGACACGAAGGAAAAAATATCTTTCTTTACTTTATTACGGAGCTTAAATTTACCGTCTCTCCTTTTCTATTCATTAACAAATACATATCTTTAAAGATAATTTGGTTTCATCAACTGAAGTGATAATGTAAATTGGCCACCGTAAAGGATTTCTACAGCTGAAGTATCGACGTAGGGATGACGCTCCAGAGGAACAATTTGAAACCCTGTAAAAAGCGCGGGAAGAGTGCTTTCGCACAACCTTGTCGACTTCATCGTGTTTATGCTAATTTGCCCGCAATTTTACTGAATTTTGTGTACCACTCAATTTTGTTCTCCCAGTCACATTTGGACGACGATGCCTCTACAAAAGCTGCACGATATTATCAGGTCAACAGCGAGAAGCATGAAAAGACCTTCTCGTGTATAGTTTGATTTTGACGCTTGGCATATTGCCGTATGAATAACACTGCTGGATACGTACCTGCCTGTATCGCAAAAGGAACACTCTCTACTGTTACAGAGGGGAAAGTGAGCTCTGTCACCACAACTGGAAACTTATCAGCCGCAGAAGTTCTGGAGAATTAAAAAAATGTAAAATGATTAAATCAAGCAACGAAAGGACTGGGACATATTCTCCTAAATAAGGTTCAGTTGAAAAGGCATCAGTGGGTCTACCGAGTGTTGGCAAAAACCAAAAACCAAAGTAATAAAATCGGCACATCAGAACAAATGAGAACACGAAGAAAAATCAAGCAAACTGCCTGAAGCGCGGGAAAACGCAGGTGGGCCAAGTCGCTATTGGTTTCTGCATTTCATGATTGGTTGAGAGAGACAGTTGCGCAACTTTCCTTGTCCAATCACAGAGCAAAGGAAGGCGGACCAAATTTTGAATGCAGTTCGGTATTACATTGGGTACTCCATTGGAAATTGTCTCAATATTTATCTCACTTTTCTTAGTCCCTCGAGTGTAATCACGGACTTACCGTCTCCACTGGAGGGCAAGACTTCCAATGTTCACGACCTTCATTTTACTGACACCCTCTTTAACAGCTAAGCAGTAGCATTCCGACGCACTTTCACCCTGTTGCAAAGAGACTGGGACCACCATACATGACGTTAGAAGGAGAAAGAGACAAAGTATCCTGTAAAGATTTAACAGCTAGCAAGTCGGGAATAATTGCCAAATTTTCACGAGAAATCTTGAAACTCGCAATTTGCATATAGGGGCACAAATCGCAAAGCTGTATGTTTTCACTAAGTGGGGCCTTGAAAACCCGTCAACAAAATCCACCTCCTATTCCCATGCAAATTCTTACCCCCTTCCTCCGTTGGTCATTGTTTTAAAAGAAGAGGGGCCTTGAAAACGCCTCAACAAAATTCTCCTCGTATTCCCACGTAGATTTCCCCCCTCTCTCTCCATTGGTCTACACAATCGCTCAACCTTGTGTAGTATGAGGAGGGGGCCTTGAAAGCCTTGAAGCCCCTCAGGAAAATTCCCATCGTATTCCCCTGCAGATTTCCCCCTACCTCAGTTGGTCCAAAAAATCGGTCAACCTTGTCTATTTTCCCCAAATGTTTGGCGATTAGTTAAAAAGAAGCCCGATACGCTGTAACAACGACAATCTCACGGATTTTTTGGGACGGCAGTGCAAGTAGACGCATCCTTAACTAATTCAGATCGGTTATTCTCGTAATACACAGACATGCAATCCTTACTCCCTTGCAGCTGCGATCCCATCTCTTCACCCACAATATTCACTTCAGGAGACTGAAATCAAACAAACAAACAAACAGTTGTCCAGAATGTCTGCTTGTTCTTTCTACCATAGTTGAAAGTAGCACCCGACTATTCTCTAGAAGATATAGGTTCCCCGTCAATCCCCGATAAAGCTTGAATTGCTCAGACTGCTTTTTCTTCAGTGAGTTAAATTGCAAAGTTCCGGCGGGGGAAATCACGCACTTAGGTTAAAGAGTATATCTATGCACTGGCTTACATTCCCATCGTGACTCGTGGGGGGGCGTGGGGGGGGGGGGAAAGGGGAGAGGAAAGGCTGCATATGCTCTCCTGCTTCATCGACTTGTTATCTTCTCGATTATATTTTCTTAAGGAAGACAAACCCAGTTTTTGCGAACATAAATTGTATTGTTTACAACCTCACCATATTCAATGTAGTGGTGACCATGGTAACAGGCCAAGGTGAGGTGCATTTGATGCCAGCTAATAAGAGGAATGGTTCTTCTTCGAACAGCTGATCCAGTCTCTCCAACTGAGAATAAACGCAAATCAATGATTTGAACTCATTACATTGCTTTGGTTTACACCCCCCCCACCCCTCCCCAAAAGAAAAAAGAATTAAAAAAACGAAAATGCAATTAATTTTAGTTCCCTGTAAATATGGACTCAAAGCAAACCATGACGACCACAATGAGGGCGTTACAAAACAAAAGATCAAATTGGCAGATCGGCACGTGCGTATCAAATCTTTGTACATTTATTAGCCGTCTTTGGCAAAACTCCAACGTGATATCAACCAAATTTGCGTGGTCTGTGTACGGAAACCCCAATGGAATTCTACACGGCTTCCTTACGTTATGCTACGGTTGACGTGTAGAAACGGTAAACACATTCAGCCATTTGCGAAATTATAAATTCATTTTTTAAACCATCGTTTACTGCGGCGTTGCCTTGACGCTAATCAACAATTCCAACAACAGTACCCTAATTCAGAGGCGTGTTGGTCCAGACCAGGTTTATATTCGCAGAGTTATGCCACGATAAAAAAATTTTGACGGATTTATAAATGCATTAATTTATGCCGTAACTTTCAGAGTAAGAAAGAAATTTTAGACAAGAGCGAGGGCACGTTTGCACAGATAGCCAAAAGCGCAAGTTTGATCGATTCCAAGAGACGTAAAATTGCATCGTAAAAAATATTGCCTACTTTCCCTTACCTTGAGATTTGTCAGAGACAAAGAGATTTCAAATGGCATAACAGTCTTGATAACAACACTTTCCTCCTTGGGCGGGTATAAATCAGGACAGTAGAGAAAGAAGAAAGCAAAAAGACGTCGTGATTTTATATTCACCATGTGAAGGATTTTTCAATTGAGTGTCGAAAGAAATCTGAGATTACTTGTGTTCTGTGATTGGTCCAGAAAACTCGCGCCACTTTCTCAACCAATCAGATGCAATAATAAAGCCATGTTTTCCCACCCTTTGGGTATTGTTGTTTTTACTTTCAGTTCTCATTGACTCTTTAAGGTATTCTCCTGTCTTCTGATTGGCCGTTGTGATTACTTTGGTTATGGTCTTACGACAGTCAATCGAAAAGCGCTCCATGTTACAAGTGCAACTTACATTCACAAGTGCAACAACATTAAAAAGCGAACGAGGATTAAAATTAAATGTGGAAATTTGCGCGGCGCTTGCAAATTTGTTTAGTCCTGTGGATTAGAATACTGAGAGGTAGCTTTATCTTTTCTTTAAGACACAAAAGAGTGATCTCACCTTGGCACAAGTACAAGTGACTGGCGACGAATTTGGTTCTACTTGGACATCTACTGTATAAGTAATCTGCATAAAAACAAAACAAGAAAATATGAATCTTTTTAAAGAATGCAAGATATCTTAACTTGAAACTTGATCCTTAGAGATTAAGAACATAGAAAAATATTGCGTATCTAAAGGTATTGTATAGAGATCTTTAAACTACGTATTGAACGGAACTCATAGCCAACAGAACATGCACAATAGGGTGAACGGAGGCAAGCGGAAGTGACATACGAGGGAGAGACGGGAGAAAAATGACGCACTCCTCCCCTCTTGCATATCCTCGTTCGCTTTAAATACGCAAAAATGTTGCGCCTCTTCTGCAGGCTACGTATAGCACGAAAATATGACTTGAGTTCTCTAAACAGACGCCCAAATATTTGTGATTAAAGGTGCAATTACAGCTTACTTAGGTATTATACCTTTGCTGTTACAGTCCGCGATCCCACTTGAGAGCATTTGACGAAGTACGACCTCTCGATCTAGGAAGAAAAGACGAAAGGGACACATTGACAATATGCAAGACGTGAACTACGACGGTTCATTGGTGTTAAAGCCTAATTTTCCTGCACACTAGACAAACGAAGTATCCAAAAGCGCTAAGTAGAGTATGAAAAAGAATCAATGGGCGCATCGAGTACAAATATCCTGCAATATTGTACGGTTATTTCGACAGTTAGTTACTTTGTGCGGCAGAAAAAAAAAATCTTGTAAATAGGATGTAGGGTATGAAATTATTTTTAAGCTCGGTAGAGAAAATGAGAAAGATCTTTTCTTCTTGTCATGAGCGTGAGACAAAGAAAAACTTCTGAATGCTCATGAGGAATCGAACCTCAGATCTTCGGATTCCGCGCTCCGATGCTCTACCACTGAGCCGCAGAGTCCATGACGAACAAGGCCCATTACGAAGTTCAAATATGAAACGCGTCCTGCATACTGTTAGGATCAGCAATGTCGGCTATGGTTGGCTATGCTTACGTGAGTTGATTCATTGGAGAAAAGAATGGACGACATCTTCGTATAAATAAATCAGTTGGATAACGAATAACCTATCAGAAGTTTTGGTGTATGGCATTGCTGAGTATTTTCATTCGTTGGTTTTCAATTTGAATCGGTTGTCAAAAAACGACAACGTCGTAAAAATACACAGCCATACTACACACCAAAACGTCTAAAAGGATAAAAGTACAGTGTGTCATAAGGTTCACAATGTGAAGAAACCAATAAATTCACCACCACCATCAAAGTTTACCGTTCACAAATCTAAAGCAACTCACGTGTCGCAAATCAAATTTCACTCTGAAATGCATAGCTTCTTGGTTATGGGTAGAGACGCAAGGGTCGAAGATAAAATTCGTAGCCATGCACGCCTATGTATCATCCTTTATACAACCTCTCATACCTTATCAGTCTTTCCATCCACAGTAAATTCCAAAAAGTTCGTTGCATCTCTCTCAGCCTGATCTGCTGCGGGTACTTCTGAGTATATCAAAGCGCCTGGGAATACAATTAAAAGAAACTTGACATTTTGAACGAAAACATATTAATCGGTCAGATTATGAAAGCAATTTGGAGCAATTTTCAACTAAGTGTTGCAAGTAAACCAAGATTACATTGGGTTTGCCTAACTTCGCTGTGTGATTGGTCCAGAAAACTAGCGCCACTCTCTCCACCAATCAGATGTAAAACTTCGGTTTTACCTTGAACTCTAATTGGCTCTTAAAGTTATTTTCCTTTCTTCTGATTGGCTGTTGTGATTCCTGAACTTTTGGTTTACGACGCTCAAGCAAAAAGCGCTTTAACGCTCTAATCTTCCGACGTAGGAAAATACCCAGGCTCTCTCGGATTGAATATCTTTATTGACATATGATAATATAACATTTGGGAAGACGTTGTTGTTTTAAAACACTCACCTCTTTCGGGAGATTCCTGCTCGTCCTGAAATCCAAGCCATACTCTAAAAAAAGGCATATATTGTTGTTGTAACGCTTGAAAGAGGAGTAAGGTTCATGGAAACCGAAAAAAGCGCGAAAATGTGAGAAAGGCAAAGACATGTTGCGAAAGCATTACTTTCAAATCAAAAATAGACGGGAGGAGAGGAGGGAACTGGTTCACGTTCTTGTTTAACACTTAAATAAAAACACACTGAAAAGGCATACCTGACGTCTTTCAGCGGTGTATCTTCCAAACTCTCAACAACCAGCTGAAGTCCATACAGCTCGTTTACGAGGGCGGGTGGTTCGTGCTTCAGTGTGATATTAACTCTAGGCTTGCGCGGTTCAATTCTGGCGTAAAGAGTTCGCGAAGGGAACTGATATCAGCAATAAATTCCACCTTGTTGGGGTCGTAATTATTCATTTGATTAATTACTAAGAACTCTCAATACCATGTGATTCAAACCTGTAAGCAATTACCATTCACGTGGATACCGTTCTTTACGCGCACTGATTGGCTAACTCGGAGGTTGATACGTTAAAAATGTTTTGGCTCACTAGTCATTCAGTTTGTGTGGTACAAACTGAAACAATAATTCACCTCTGCGTCTGTTAATAATTGTTACTATAAACTCTACTCCGTAGCTTAAGATTCAATGGAAAACATGCATGACTTACTTGATTTTCGAGATGACCTTTAACTCATCCCAGTCAAACTGATCCTCCTTGCTGGCGGATTTTAAACCATATGACACAAAAGGGAGGTTTTGGTTACCAGTCTCCCCTCCCCAGCCACCCCACACCAGTGCAGCACACCGAGACTCACGGGACCCCAACTCCAAAGCAACGGAGGTGACCTAGGAACCACAACGAAGAAAGCTTAAATCTGAAGTCTCTTTTAAAGCAGTCTCCTCCGGAAAAAAGTTTTCTGTCAAACTTTGCCGGTGACACTACCGAGAGATCTGGATTTGAGCCCTGGTTGGGATCACTGAGTAATGTTCTTGGGCAAAAATTCTTTACTCTACACCTAGGAATGATAAAGTGCGGGGAAGCGGGGGGAGGGGGGCAATCTTACTTTGGACTGACAGCAACACTCTAAAGATAGTTTCTAGTAAAAGACCATTAGCTTTTCCTCTTTAGGCTGCTAGTCTCGTCAGCAGACTGCGACAATTATCATTTCATACGAATAAATTATTGATAAGTACAAAGACTCGAATGGCATATTATTTCAGTATTTTTTTAACCTGAAGTAGTTTTCCAACATCCTCAGGCTGGGGCACTAGTTGAAATGGTATGACTTTGGTCTTTGCTGGAAGAAGATACAATCCACCCTCCCCTTGAGCGGACCCAGTCTCCACAACACACTGTTGGTTATAAAACTAAGATAAAAGATAAAAGAAAATTGAGTCAGGCCAGTAGAAAATGCAACCAAATTAGCATCCAGAGTGTCATGGCATGATTACAGGCAGGCAGACACGAAATTAGCCTGTTCCAAGCATACAATCACAGCCGTGAAATTCCAATCATAGCTGAGCACAAGAGCATATTAGTGACGCGTACTTGGTCGACCTCATCGCCTGAAGAAGGCTGGCAGTATGCAGTCGAAATGTTGCGATTCATACCCGAAGTGACCACAAATGATTACTTTTTACTTTTGACGCCTTCAAGATCATAGACAATAAGACATCATCATGCAAAACCAAACCAATCATGCCTTTATTATCCGCGTTTCCTACACTTACTATTGTAAACAGTTGTTTGATGTCAGTTCTCCTCGGTGGATTTTATGGTCGACCTTCGTTCCGGTTAGCTGTGGTAATTACCTTGCTATTGTAAGCTCGAGACTAAACTGTGCTTTCATATTTTGGCGAAACAAAGTAACACTAGCCTTACGTATGTAGGAATATTTTAACTTACCTGATTGCTAAAGAAAACGGCAATCTTCGAGAATCGGATGGGAAATGGGCAAGAAACCCTGAAATATAACAACACACAACAATAACAAGTGTTTAGACCTTTATTTAGAACAACTTTCAATTGATTGTCAATGGTAATGCGGAACTACATCAGTTTTTCTTCGTTACGGTCAAAGATCGGTCTTGAAAAGTCGAGCCTCTATCTCTACCAATCTCCCGCCTTTTCCCGCTCTTTATGGCAGTTTGTTTGCACGCTGAGTTTTCGTAAGCTTCTCGTGATATTTTCCTTTATCCTGAGTTGCCGTAGAGGTTATTTTAGGTTGCTGTACAACACTCAATCGAAAAGCGCTCTCAATGAATCACCGAATCGTCACCATGCATAATAGAACTAAATAACTTCAGTGCTGACAGTTTTGAACCAAGGTTGTGGTCTCGTAAAAGCTTCCTCTTAACCATATCATTCCCATGAGTAATCAGAACTTACATTCTCCATACTTTGATAATTTTTAACGAAGACAGTTTACGAGAATTAAGAAAATGATCCATTAAGGGATATTCAAGAAAGAAACGACATGTTTAATAATAAATTACAGATGACGTCAAATGTATCACTTTTTGTTCTTTCCAGTTTTGAGGTCGTCTGTTCAATAATAAATTACAGATGACGTCAAAATGTATCACTTTTGGTTCTTTCCAGCATTTTAGCGTCGTCTGTGATCTGTTAATGAACAGACACACGGCATCATGGAATCTGTTTGTCACGTATAAAACGAAATTCTCAGATGTCACAATGACTCACCATCAAAAGTCGTCTGTGAAAAAACAGACACCGTCATTGGTTTTGGAGAATTAATAAGAAAAATCTGCTTGAGAGAATTAAGGGATCTGAAAGTTAAGGGTGAAAGCTGTTTTGGATTGAGCGACTCTAAGAAGACATTACAAACCTTAAGTAGATTTGAAGAAGGATGGTAGAATCTGCTGTTGTTGAAACTGAATCAAAGACTGCCTTGCATTCCACTGAAGGAAGAACAAAATTGAAAACAACAGGAAATATTACAATATCACACTTTGCATAAAACAAATAAAATAAATTCATTCATTCATTAATATTTTGAACTTAAAAATTTTACCAGTCTCTTTATCAAGTCTTGGTTTTAAAGGGTATTAAAGAAGATTTTTTTTCTACCCTACAAGATTTTGGTTGCTGTATTTGGAAATTGAATTTAGGAGTTTCTACGGCTAAATTCAGTTTCCGCCTCTGTAAACTGTGAAAAAAAAAATACACAGTAGAGTTGACATTTTCTTACCAAATGGTGCTATTTGTTCCATCTGTATGGTAAATACTTGGGGTGCCTGTGGTGTCACTTTAAGTGTTTTCCATAGCTCCTTAGCTTCTTCCACTGCTTCAAAGTCACAGCCTGGCTCGGGCTCAGGACATTCATTCTGTTTGTAATTCCAATGAAAAATTAGAAATGAAACATGATACAGTGATAAGAATTCAGTTGTCTTTCGTAACATGCTCATCCTGTAATAGTAGCGCTCGACAAAAAGCGAGTTATCCACGCGCGAAAGACCAGCCATGCGGGCAAGGAAACTCTCCCGCGTTTTTAACTCGCGTTCAGCCGCGCGCGTGCTTTCCATGTCTAAATCACCAGTGTCAGGGTCGTAGATGACAAAAACAGAAAGAATCAGCGTAAACTCGTTCTACAATAAAAGTTCCTCCATAAATCCTCTTTAAACGACCATTGGCAGTAAGTCCTTACCGACATGACGTGAATAAGATTAGTCTGACATCTTGTTTTCTCTTCAGGTGAATTTTCAACATCTGATGTTTTCTTGAATCAAGGACTTTACCACTAATACAATAACAAATATTGGGTAAGATGTTTTACTAACGTATTACACCGCAGTGAATTTGACTTAGGCAAAATCTGTACCGCTTTATACAACTACAAATGTCAATATTATCCTAAAATTCCCAAATTTTGCAACCTTACTAGTTGGTTGCCCAAGAATACCTTGCGTTTTGAAGGCACTTTTCAGCCTCTCCACCTGACTTGGAAACCAATTTAACCCTTTAACCCATAAGAGTGACTAGCATGAAGAACCAATAGGAACTCAAAGCAAAAACAGGCACCCTGCCTGAAGCGCGGGAAAACGCGGAAGACCAAGTCGTGGTTGGTTTTAGTTTTGCATCTGATTGGTTGAGAAAATGGCGCGAGTTTTCTTGACCAATAACATAACGAAGCTAAGTTACACCAATGCAATCCCAGATCACTTTGCATTGAAAATAACTCTACCCGAAAGAATCACTTCACCCAGAAAAAAATACTACGTTCAGTTATTCAAATGATAGGCAGCATTTTCAAGGATACATCTTCCCGTCAATTCAAGCGAAAGGGTGATATATTCCTCCACATTGCCAACCAAGTACGCACACCTGCAACAAGAGTTAAGAAGACTAAGGATATACGAATAAATAAATCTAAAACTTGAAGTTGAGAAAAACTGTTTTGAACGTAATGGCAATAATTTGACGTTAAACAAGAAGACAAACTTAGATTTTTGGCATTGTAGCAGTCCAACTGAACAGACGTGGAATTATTCCGTCTGTCCGAGTTGGCTGTGTCCGTGTCGTAAATGAGCCAAACTTCCACCAACCTCGACGTAGTATCCCTGATTCTCACGCTTGAGGGCTTTTCAATAACGTGTTGCCAACCACAACCAAGGTAAACCCAACAACCAATCACAGTGAAGATAAATATCACAAGTGATAACTTACAGAGGAAACAAGTAAGCTGCCTGAAGCGCGGGAAAACGCGCGTTACCAATGCGCCATTGGTTTCAATTTTACACCTGATTGGTTGAGAGGGTGGCGCGTGTTTTCAAGACCAATTACAAAGCAAGGTAATGCAAAACCAAGTAAATTCAGATTATTTCAACTGAAAATGTTTACATGTTGAGTTCTCAGAAACAAGAGCTGGAGAGTACAAATCTTGTCTCACTTACTACAAAACAACAGTACCTCAGTGATGTGATTAAAACTGACGTAAGAAGTGACCACCATTTTTCTCTGCGGTAATCCCAGGTGACTTTTCCCAACAACCTTAAAGAAGAAATCTACGAGGGTTATGAATAAAGCCCTGAAAAATGCATATCTAAATTACATTTTGGTCTGAATTCCTCAATAAAGTTAAATGAAATATTAATCAACTCATTTTGTGGTATGTTAGCGTCTTTTCACGAAATTACTTTCACGTAACGGCCTCCGGCCGAAAGTAATTTCGTAGGAAGACGCTTCAAACGGCCTGGCCTGCCTGTGGTACAATACTTGATCACTACTGACTCTAAACTGAAACATTCTCTTATGCTACACTCACAATAAAGCTTTACTGTAATCTCTAGCATGGTAATACTCCTCACCCATCTGAACCACTGCAGAATTAACAAAAAAGACTTGCTGTTAACGTGACCATGAAAGAACTTCAGAGCATACAGTAGAAAATGATTAGCTTGCCCAGTTATCCATATGCAATATTAATCATCATTGTAACTACTATTCAACGTACAGTTGTATCCTTATGTTTTATCAAGTATTCTTATTGCATATTATTGTCATATTGATAATTAGATAAGAAAAGCCAATAGACCTCGACTATGTACACTATATCACTCTGCTTCGTAAATTTAATAAAAAAAAAACTTTTAAAAAGCACTACATGTACATTGTCATGAAGAAACAAAAGCTTTTAGTTGCATCTTGCTTAAGTTCTTAACCCTTTACACTCTAAAATCAGTCTATATATTCTCCATACTGTTCTTTATACATTTCCTAAGGTGCTGACAAGGAGATTTTGTTCACCAATCAAAAGCCTCTTTGGTTGGTGATCATTTCCTTTATTCTCATGACCTTAACATGTGATTCAGGGCTGATATTTTAGGGAGAAATTTGATGCTGGTCACTCTTAGGGTTTAAAGTAAAAAAAGAGAGAACTTACTCAGGTATCTCTTCATCCTGGGTGATTTGTACTTTTTAAACTGAGCCACTGCACTACTGAGAAGGGGAATGATAACCCACTGGGAGAAAAAAAAAAGGAGCCAATATTCTAAGTACCTCAACCAAATATACTACTGAAAGGGGAATGATAACCCACTGTGTATTCTAAGTACCTCAACCAAATATAAAAGTAAAGCATAAATAAAGAGATTGATGGTAAGAGTATTTGCTAACAAGGTATTATGTAATACTGGCAATTGGGATTTCAAATCCATAACTGCTTTGGTTTGGCTAGAAAGCTCATTGATGCAATTGCGCACAAACAAAAATTTACAGTCATATTAACCTTGCATTTAAACTTAATTTGTCACCATGACGTCTCCCTGACATTTATCTGATCTTAATTTTCTTGAAATGAAAGTCTGCCAAACAATACAGTGCACTTACAGAATGGTCCACTTGGATTTCTTGGGACTGCAAGGCTATAATTCCAGCCTTCTCTATTCCTGCATCTGGTGGTTCTGTTCCTACAAATATATTAAGTCAAATGAACCCAGCAGTTCTACAAATTGAAGGAAAGTATTGCATCTCAACAGATCAAGTTTCAAATAAGCTCAAAAAAAAAAGTTTTAAAATTTTTTTTCTGACAGAGTGTTTTTAATACACAAAAAGTTTTCCCTCCTCTAATGGAACAAAATTCTAACACTGAGCTTTTCAACCAGTACATGGTTTAGCAAAGGAAACTTACTGAGTGTCTCAACACCTTTTGTACTTACTCTAAAAAACACTGCCAGAGGAAAAAAATTATATATTTGCAGTTACCTTGAAAACCTTGTCTCCAAGGTCTCTGACCATAGAAGTCGAGATTTCCAGCATTTTCTAAGGGATTCATAGTAAGTGGAGTGGTAGTCTAGAGATGAATTAATAACAGATTCCAATGTATTAACTAAAAAGTAACTCATCAGACTCAATGAACAATAAAAGTTAATTACATGCAGAAAACAAATGACCCTTTTGAGTGGTAGTTAATTAGTTTTTGGTTAGGTGTACTCTGAAGGGAATCTATGACCCTTTCTTGCCACTAGTTTACATTCAACATTATCCCACACTACAAGGGTGGTTTAAAGTCTAAGGCAATATTACTTATATCAAAACCTTCCCTGCCCCTCCCCCAAACAATTTCAAATTTTGTGTGCTTTGTAAACATTACCAGGATGTAGTGCCTAAACTTAGGCTTTACCAACATTGTTAGAGGGGGGGAGTTCTGTGTACACAGCTGAATTGGCGAAAGATGGCCTTTTGTAATATGTTTGGATATAGGATATCTTTTTGATAACTGTCCGAACAAGCTTTGACCTCCATTGTAGCTATGTCCACCCATGTGCACAAGTATGTAGCCCAATAATTGGGCTACATACTTATTTATCTGGGTAAGGCCCTCCAGGAAAAGTTCTTTGGAAATAATTTGTACTTCAAAATTACCTAAGTCAGACAGTTCTAGTCTTCAAATTTTTATTGGTAAGTTTCAACTAATGATAAAAAAATGGTCACTTTCATTAAGAAAAATATTGCTCCTTTGAGTTTGTGTCTGTCACTGTTCCTTCAGATTGTTCTCAGCAATCCTCTGGCATGATAATAATTTTACTTACATGACACAAGCCCTGGCAAAGCTGTCTCCTGACAATGGCATTGTTTGCTGCTTGTTGATAGTAAAATCCTGGGTGTTGAGTCTGTGATAAAGTAACAGTTAAGTCTTTACCAGAATCTGAGAGTATGACTGATTTGGACACTCTAATCAGTCACTAGACCAGATTTGTTTGGGCACATTTACATCAATCCTATTTATTAAGGTGCCTCTCTCTGTTTATAGCCAAAATTTAATTAGGGGAGAAAAAATCATCATGATTGTTAAGAGATGACAAAAAAGTACCTTTAAAACAGAAAAACACTCCATTCTATTCATTTATATTGCATACAATTATCATAAGAGATATAGCATAATGAGAGACAATTTTTTCTTTATTCTAAATACCAATTCAGAATACTTAGTAACATAATTAGTAAGAATTTCTTTCTCTTCTTACAGATCTATTGTTGTTTGTAGATTTAATAAATAAATATTTCATTCATTAAACCAATATGCCAACACAGATCTTCTACATTGTTACCTGTAAGGCGGTTAAACCATTTCTGATGGCTTCATCAAACAGTTCTCCAAATAAACTGAACCTGTATTAATTTTTCACATGGTTTGTTATTGATTAAGCCTCTATAATTCCCTTACCATACAGCATGTTGTATTAACTTTGACAATTATTCATCATTGAACTGACTAACAAATTATTTAAAAGTCTCCTGTTTTCATCATTTCAGTTCCATTACGTTGAAAAGTTCAGTCAAAAATTTCACTTCAACTTGACCTGTTCTTGATCTAATGTTGTTAAGAAACAAGAGTTGTTAGATCCTGGTCACAGCTTGGGTTTCTTTGAAAGCAAAAACCTTCTAGAACACAAACCAAAGAGGACTCACCACATCAAAGGTTATCATGGTTTCTGTAGCATAAAGAGACTAAAAGTTCTCTCTCTGGATTTGATGCTACATATAGGTCTAGTAGATTACCCCCTACCCCCACCCCCCAGCATTTTTATCAAATTCCCTTCATAATTGGCCGATACTTATTTCAACTCTGGGGTGGAGGGAGGTACTTTAGCTGTACATATGTAAGTGCCCAAAAAACAACTGAATGCAGACCTTCCAGTTAAGAGTGAGAAGGCTAAACAGAAAAAATACTCACTGTTTGGAGAGCCAGGCTGAGTGTTCAAAGGCTAAGTCAGGGCAGCCAACCTTTTCCTTAAACAAATCCACATGCTTTCTGAATTGTGATATGGCATCTAATGGGGCTGATGCTTGGAAACTTAGACGGCAAATCTGTGAGACAATTAATAAAAATTGATTAATACTGTTTGGTTGTCAGGATAACTCAAAAGTCTGTAATATATGTTGTAGGAGGGATATAAATCACCAGATATATTGGTCCCATAGGACATTTAAATTCCACTGAATCTAAATTTAGCATCAAAAGTTTTCAAAGATATTTGATTTTTTTGTGACCACTCTGCCAATAACCATTTTGTTTCTGTTTGTCACTGTTTCCAAAACACTCCTGTAAGTGACCATATTAAAAAATGTTGGACACATTTTTGGTACTGTGTTTCTCATAAGCAGTCACCGACAGGTTTGTTATAAAATCAGAGAGAAATAAGGAATATTTCATCAACGTTGTGACACATTCTATAATGTAGTTTCATTCTGAAATGAAATTGGATGGTTAAGTGGGTAAACTAATTACCAGTAAGTACTGTACCATAGTTCACTCATAACTTTCTGATTATATTTTTCTAAAATAAACTTATTAAATAGCCATCTCCCTAAAGTGCCCACTTAAGAGTGACTTGACTGTACACCTCAGACTTAGAATTACAGACAGAGATCTTTTGATTTAACGGCACAATTAAGGTATCTGATGAAGAATTTACCTTGCATCTTTGACAAAAGGAGTACATAATCCCAAAAATATAAAATTACATGATAAGAGATCATGTCTTTAAGTCATCCAAGATATACAATGTCTTCTTCACATCATTACTTTTATGTAACTATTATTACAATGGTATACACCAAATATATATTGACCAGAGTTCTAAAATATGAAAAAACACAAACCTTGTAATTAATAAATCCAGCAACAACTTTGATCTCTAGTATGTTCATGTCAGTTGTCTTGATTTCTCCAAGAAGACTGTATGCTTGCCTGTAGTGCCTGGGGTTAAAAATTGAAAAAGTCTTACATCAATCAGCTGATGTCTGGTATGTTAATATGCAAATGTAACTAACTTGAGAGTTTATGTTGAGAGATCTCCAAGGCAGGAAGACTGAAAATATTGGGGGAAGAAATCTGTGGCAGGAGTTGCCAATTTTGTAAACTATCTTTGGCTGTCATGTGGCAAGGCAGAAAAACTTTTAACTCTCTGTCATTTTCTTCCATAAAAAAATTTGCTCCTTCTCCTCCACTGTCCTAGTTCTAAACCTTGAGATACCTTGTGAAAATCCTACACCAAATGCTGCTCATACTCTTCATTTTGGGGACAAGCATTGCTGTCAGCTGAAAGTATATTGTTTAATATTCTCACAGAGTGTCCTTTTCAAAATTTTCATTTCTATTTTTCCTCTTTATATTTTCTTTTCTCAAAAAAGTTTCTTAACAGAAAGTTGGCAGAAAGTTCCTTTTCCTTCCTGACCCCTTAACCGATAAAAGGGAAACACTGAGATCTACCTTTTGGCCAACTAATTGTTGTCATTGCAAGATCAATAAAAAAAATAAATACTGATGAACTTACTTGATAGCAGAGTGAGGGTCTTGTCTTAGCTCATTGAAAAAGGCAACCTTGAATTGGTGTCGCACCAACAATAGCTACAACAACAATAGAGAAGCAAAATAAGAGACTTATGAATTGTTGAGGCCATGTGCAAAGCAAAATGTGGTCAGTGATGTCTTTGGTGGAATATAAGAGGGTAGCAAAAAAAAGACACTGGATGAGAAACATTTCAAAGTAACACCCTTCAAAGCTGACATCAACAAGCTTTTTCTTTTATTCTTGGTAACTCTTTCCCTCAGCCTTTAACTAAATGTAGTTCTGTAGTTTGAGTAGAATCCATCACATCAAATTATTGACATACAAAGATCACTTTTGCAAAATAAAGTTCTCACCTGATGAGTTCCTTTGTTAAGAAATTCCTAATGATCATAAAGAGCATGAAAACATAATAAGTGTCACTTCATTCTGTATTTTGATAAAATTTTACCTTTTGTGCTACAACATAACATTATTTTGATGGTAATTCTGGCTAGTGAAAAGGTAATCTATAGAAACATTGCATTGCGCTACCAGGCAAGCTATACAGGCATGTATATGACCAAGAATTTGGCACATTTTCCAACAGACAGTTTTAGCTACTGGTACTTTTCTGTCCTTGATCTGAGAACAGAAATTTACTTAGTACAAGGGGAGTGTCCTACTGAAAAACCTAATGGCTTTACCATGAATTTATGTTGAACTAAGGCAGTTAAACCAAAAGAGTCCAAAAAGCTACCCAGAGTGCTATCTTTTCCCCTTTTACTGACTAGTTGAAAATTCAATTCAAGACACTCATGTATCTTCAATCTGTGTCATCCATCTACGTATCATCTATGTACAAGACGATGTAGACAGTGACAGTTGAAAATAAATTTTAGACAAGGACCATTCAACAGTGGACAAAGTTTATTACATTTGCCACTGCATCTCCCTAGTTTCTGTAGCATGAAGCAAATACAGGCTTGTTGTTTCCTCCTGGCTGGGATTTTAATAACTTGACCTTCTCCCTACTCCCTTAAATTTCCAGAATTGCAACCTCACCTTGTGGGCTTTAACTCTCCTACATTCTCCATGGTAATAACTCTGTGCTAAATCATAAAAAAAGCATTCTCCAGCCTTAAAAAAAAAAGAAGAAGAAAAATATTTATCTCATAAGTTTCAAACCTGTTCCTTTTTATTTTGAAGAGGCATGAATTTCATGTCCCATGAATGACTACGATAACTTGTAATATGATCATTCAACTGTTTAACTCCCATGAGTGACCAAGACAGAAATTCTCCTTACAATATCAATACAATATCAACTAGATTAGAGATGAGAATAAAGAAAAATATCAATTTGGGGATAAGTAGTTGATCTGATCAAAAATTCTCCAAAATAATATTATAAGAATTGTATGGTTGACAGTAAGGAGAATTACAAATTTGATCTGGGAGTTAAAGGGTTAATCAGATGAAAACACAAATCAATAGAGAGGCTGTTAACTCTCTTGGGAAAGTCTTGATAAATGCTGATAACATCTGATTTTCTGATAGATATTCCCTTATTTTTAAAACATTCTCATCCCATGTAAGTAACTAAACAACTTGTAGTGAGTCTAAAGTTAGTTTAACCCTTTAAGTCCCACCAGTGACCAAGACAAAATTTCTCCTCACACATCAGTACAATATCAAGCAGACAAGTAATGAGAATAAAGAAAAAATATCCAGTGGAGGATTATTGGTTGATCCAATTCCAAATTCTCCACACAAACATCATATGAATTGTATGGCAGACAGTAAAGAAAATTACTAATGAAATCTTGAGACTGAGTTAAAGGGTTAATAGAGTCTGAGGCTTACTCATGTAAAAGCTTCAATTTCAATTTCTTTCTACTTCACTGTCACTTTTTCCAAATAATTCTAACTAACTTAGTCTTTATTGTGTCCTGTTTTGTAACTTTTCTTGATCAGCTACAATAAATACAATAGAAAAAATATGAAACTCTTACTAAATAAATCTTTTCCTATATTTGACAAAGGTTGGGCTTTTACATTCAACTGCAAACTCAATGAAAACCAATCTCATCAAAATCAATCTAAAATGATAAATTTTGTTCGTCAAATACCTAATTGTGTAGCCAATCAAGTGATCTGTATGTGGAAGGACAAACAATGATTTGGCTGACAGGTCACATGCACTGCACAGTGTTGCTGCCCTCTCTAGTGCTTGTAAATCATCACCTGTGATTCATTATAATAGCAAAAATTTCCTCCATGAAGGGTACTCAAATCTTTGGATACAGGAACTAATATGAAATAACATATTTTTTTTCTGAAGCATGTCAACAGGCTAGAATCTTAAATTCTTGACTTTGATTGGCTAATTGTACTCTAGTCACTGGTCCAGCTTGTTAAAATACAGTTTTACAATCATGTTTTTCTATGTGGGAAGAAACTGTGCCCTTGACCTTGATTACAGACACCACTCTTGGGTCATACTCAACACTTTGGGTGCAGTTTTTCCCCTTTTTCCAGCCCATGCCTAGCTCAATAAATGACATGTAACTCTCATTGTAATGCCTCTTGCAGATTTTTAAGATAGACCTGGCAGTCACTTATGGTTTGACGTTAGCATGAAAACACTAAACATGGATCTAAAACTCTCTACTTAATAACATCATCTTCTGACTTCTATGTATTTATTGATGTTTACCTGGAGGAAGAGGAGCATTCTTTTGGATAAGAACCACAGCAACCTTAGTGTTCTGGTCTTGAAGACTGGTTCTGCTCAGAAATGAAAAGATTGCTTTGAATGGTTTAATATGCAAGATTGAAGTTATAGAATACAAAATTATTCATTGTACTGGTTATATTTTTTTGCATTCAATGAGCTGATAAGTTCGAAAGTAACAACTTCAAAGGTTGTAATGTTCTTATTATAACTTACAAGTATCTGATTGTCGCTTGGTAAAGAAGGAGGTTTCCAGAGTGTCAAGAGCACTTACTGTTGTTATGACAAACGTATTTCATGGTTGTTATTTGAATAGCACTCTAAATCACAGGAATTGTTAATTAAGCTGATGATTGGACAAAAGTCTTTTTCTTTTGTTTATTAAACAATTGTTTTTTGCTCAAATTTATGTGTTAGTTTGATATATTATTCTGTGTGTGTATCCATTAGAGAGCGTGGAATAAAGTTTCTGAGTTGTACAATGTCATAAAAATCAATATATACAATGGAACCCTCTTGTCTAAAAATCAAACCACACTTGTCATAATACTTATTAATAATTTTCAGTCATGTCATTAGTGCTGATTAAAGTTCGCTGTTATAGAGGGGTAAGATAACATTCTCACTCTCTTGTTATTACCTGACTCTTTCTAGTTTTGAAGCACATTCAGTTTGCCTGTCTTTCCACTGAACGTCATCCCAATCCAACTCATAAAACATGACCACCACAGCAGGAGAGAGATAAAGATGTTTGTGCATCCATTTTGTCTTCAAGATACCCTTTGGTATGTACCACTCATAGGTAGACCGCTACAAGGAAACAAGACTCAGTGATAAAAAGCCAGCATATACTCGCATAAGCAGAGGTCTAAGTAACTCTGGTTACAGGAGGCCTACTGCTTCTGTGAGGTATTACATTCCTATGGCTATCTGCTAAGATTTTCAATGTTAGTGACCCCACTCATGGCTGTGTCTGCCCTCACTTATGGAAAATGTTACTGAGACCCCATGCACACCTACAAAGATAAAGGTTCTCTTAACACTTCAAATCCCACGAGTGACAGGGACAGAACTTACTTCTAAAATTTCAATGCAATATCAGACAGACAAGTGATGAGAAAAAAAAAAAAAAAAAAAAAAATTAGAGGATCATTAGTTGATCCAATTCCAGATTCTCTGAACTAACATCCTAAGAATTGTACGCCAGACAGTACAGAGAATTACTAAGGAAATCTTTGGAGGGAAAGGTTTGAGAGAGTCAGAACTCAAGGAAGCAAGAGAATGCTTCCTTGGAAAAAAAAAGGAGTACAATTGATTTGTGATTAACTCTTTGATGATTTTGTGGATTTTGTGGAAATCACTCATAGAACTTTCTTTATAAAGAGAATAAAGGAAATGATCACCAACTACAGTTCTTGATTGTTATCTTAGGAAAGTATTGGGAAAAGTATGGAGAATATTCATACTGATGTTCGGGTTTAAAGGGTGAGCTTCCACTGTACTGAAAGAGCTTAAATGTAACCAAAATAAGAAGAATTTCACGTAATCAAAGGATTTAAGAGTAACTACACTTAAAAGCGATAGGAAAGCTCACCTTTGATTTTGCTTTGGGAAATTCGTGATCAATTGGTAAAAGTCTGAAAGATAGTGGAACTCTCTCAGGATGCCTGTTCACAGAAAAAGACTCCCAGATAGCTTTGTGCAAAGGTTTTTGATTAATATCAAGTCCCATAAGAGCTGTGAGACCCAAAGGACGGGTCGCCAGTTCTGTCGGAAATTCGCTGGCTGCCGCCATCTTTGTTTAGGCTAGAAATGTAACCTGGCCGGCTGAAACGTTGACCGGTAGTGACTGGAACGGAAATATATATAGACTCAGATTTTTTTAGCAGTAGTGGTGAATGGCTATCAGCGATTAAGTCGTTTTGCTTAAGGGTCGTTTCTTTAACGACCAGTTGTTAGCTATAAAAGCGTCTTAGGTCGTTTCGCCAACGTTTTAGGTCATTTCACCAACATCTTTGGTGCTTTCAGCCACTGGCGCTTTCTTTCAGATATTTCAAAGCCAATCAACTTTAAACCAGCTTATACCTCCCTACCATGGGTCGAACGAGAATTTTCCGCATGGCAGGTGCTGTGCGTTTCACTCAGTTTGGTCTCATTCACCGTGGACGAATGAAAACCTCCAAATTTATCCCTTACTTTGTATCGAAATGACTTGAGTTGTGTCAAATCGATGGTTCTGCGCGTGTCTTATCGACTTTGTCGATAAGTATCGAATCGACTTAAGCTTGGCTTGAATCGAATCGCTTTGGATGTTTTTATGGGTAATTGACGATCACTGCCACCAAAGCTCGGACGGGCTGGATAACTTTCCAAACGAGCCAACTCTCAAGCGTACAGAAAATATCCCCGGCCTCGCATAGTTTGCCAAGTCCCCTAGACGAAAGGAAATTTGATTACTCTTTCTTTTACCACTCTCAAAACCTGTTTTTTAAATCATTTTTATTATCTTTTTACTCTTGGACAACTTTTTCTCGATAACTCGGTTACCACCGGAAGGAATGCGTGATTTATGATTTGCTCATGTCGTCCAGCGTTCACAATCTCGTTCTTTCTTACGTGATATGTACTTGTAAGACCTGATATGGGCTCGATACAGCTTTCCGTATTATATGAGTAATTCATGACCTACGATAACCGCTAAATCTTGTATCAGTGTTGTATTTCCGAGGTGTCAAAGACATTGATGAGAGATCAAACATGAATAGCAAACCATCCTCGTTCATTACTTATGCCGCTAATTGTCTGGGGTGGCTAAGTTATGGGAACAAATTGTGGCCGAGGCAATAAACAGCTGGGTACGAAAGTGCTAGCTGCGAAAAACGTCGCCGAAGGAGAGGCGGGGGCGAAAATTTCTTGAAACTTGCCGGTTTGGATTTCTCTTTAAAAAATTCCCCGAATCTAAGCAGCAGATCATTAAATCCTTACATCTCGGTATGAACATCTCCATAAAGCTAAAATGAAATGCTAATCAACGCATTTGTGATGACTTTATGTTAAGCGCTATAAAAGTTCTATGAATTCACAGTAGTTCTCATTATGTTATTGCCCAATCATGACCCTTCTTCTATGTTCGCTTGGAAAATTCGTTTACGTCACCCGTAAATTATGGTATTCCTTTGTGGTGCACCCTCTCCCAGGAGAAATCCAGGATTGTCCCTGTCTTTAATACACGCCAAGTACTATTGTTTCTCAAAAGAGTCTTAACTGAAACGATTCACGTAATTATCATAAATCGAGTACCTATTCAGTTATCGAGACGATTTTTATCGAGTTAATTCTCCCCGTTTTACTACGACCGATCCAAGTACGCTTTGCCTGTGTGTAACACTGGGGAAACGATACATTACTATTAGATGCTGCACATGCCAGTGAGATATATCACAGCATGGAATGTTCCTGTTCTGTTCTGCATTTGAAGACCTCTTTGAAGTGACCAGCAGGCCAAGCTTAACGCGTTTGAAGTTTACGTAACGAGTCCAAAGTCGTGTCGTAAGGAACACTGAAAAGTGTTTGTCTTTTGTCGAGCACTTTCACATGATGAGAGGACCAGAAGTGGTTTTGTTTGTGAGTGTGATCTTCGAGCTTGGGTGAGTGTCGATAGAAATGATGTGATTTAAAATGGAAAACATTCCATCGCGCATGCAAAATGCCTATTGTTCTCGAGCCATTTACTTGCAGTAGCGAAAAAATTCTAGATCCGTAATAGAAGCAGCGAGGCGTACACGAGATGGTTTTAATTGGTCGTGATTTTGTGCCCCTTCCCTCGGGGAATAATGGCATAGCTCATTAACTTATCAGGGCTGGGTTAAGAGACAAAGGAATAAAGAGGGTAAGTTTCTAAAGAAAATGTGTGCTACGTCGGTGGGAGAGTGTAACAGGGTAATTAAGTATTATCAATTGACTTGATAACGAAACTGGCCACCGTAAAGAGTTTAAAAGCTGACATTTCGAGCGTTAGCCCTTCGTCAAATTTATCTTTCAAATCGGCACTCTTAATCCCCACGGTATCAACGAGCGATTTTCATTCAACTAATTTTTTTGTAAAGTTGTTTTCCCGTCACCACATTCCCACTAATGTAGCGTAGCTCCATTTTCTGCACAAACATTTTTTAAACCCATACACAATCCACAGTTCCTCCAATCCCTCCAACGAAGGGCTAACGCTCGAAACGTCAGCTTTTAAACTCTTTATGGTGGCCAATTTACGTTATGAACTCAGTTGATAATGCTCAATTACCCTGCATAGAGACAAAGGCCGCGCAAAAGTTATTCTTTGTGCTATTGTTTCGTCTTATCACACATCTACCCGATGATTTTTAAAGCTGGCTATTCAATGTACTTAAGCTTTCCAAAGGCGGTTCGCGCATGAATTTCTGCCAAAGGCAATTGCATGCCAAAATCTTGTTGAAAATTGTGAAATCAACAAATATATCACGTCATTACAATTTTTGCAAACAATTTTTCCCAGCTCCGAATCTGATCATCCGAAGAGTTTAGTCGCTCAATTTCTTAGAAAACGCTTCAGGCGTGTAACTTAAGGTTTCTCCAAATCATTTTCCGTTTATGGAACCTGGAACATGCAAGTGAAAGCTTGATCCAAAGTTTTGTTGTTTTTGCCAGCAACTTCCACGCAACTATTAAACTCACCTGTACTCTTTTTGTTATCAGAGTTGTTTTCCTTTTCATTAAATTCTGGTCGAATGAAACATCGGCAAAGTATTTGTACGCCCGTTGGTTCTCGTGCGAATCTTGTTTTCGTGAAAAATCCTTGGGTTTACCGAGTTCGGTTGATGCGTAAGATATGGTAATTCCTTTGTTTGGCCAAACGGCGAATCCTAATGCAATGTTGATTTAATTTTGTTTAAGGATGGGGATAAGTTCTACCCGAAAGGTATTTGGTAGAGAAAGCACGGCACAGAACACATTTTTGCAACGCGAGGGAGAGCGGCAATACGTTATCAAAGAGAAATCGAGTGAAGTCGATGATGGAGAGTTTTGCTACTACGTCCAAACTATTTAGCGTCGGAACCAGAGGACATACCCGCTGGAATGACAAACGTGAAGCGTCCTGGTAGATTCTTAACTGCTGCCGTTGGGGATGGAATCTCGGACGACACGTCTTCCATTCAGGCCATCGTTAATCACGCTGCAAGTTCCAAAAATAATAAGGTATTCTTCCCTCGAGGTGAATACCTAGTAAGCAATAATATGGCCATCCCTGGCCCGGTGGAACTTTACGGAACACAGAGCGGTATCGCAGTTATCAAGTCCTCAACTCCTTATGTTTTCAAGTTTACAATGCTTCACCAGTGAAATCGGTTTCATTGAATAATGTGTACTTCGACGGAATTCGTGTGAATTTTGACGGTGGAGTCAATCGAGAGGTCCCAGGACCAACAGCTATGAGTAACGTTACCATAAACAGCTGTGTATTCTTTTCATCCGGAAGGCCAACTCCGAGAAACGCTGAGAGGGAGCAGTTGGAAATGATGGACCTTAGAAACAGTAATGTGTACAGAAACATCTTTTTGCGCGATTCTAATGCGTATGGAGTTGCTTCAAAATTTACCTTCACTGTGGGTGTAGAGGTGAGAGAAAACATATGTGGGCTGGATTTAGGCAAGATAGGCTGGTTAGCCACCAAAGTTGAGCCAGCATGGTACTGGCGAGATCAAAAACAAAAATTAGAATTCCTTATGACTCATTACAATCTGGAATCTGATCAAGGCTTCTTTCAAAGTTGTTGTTATGAAGAGTGCGACGAAAGGATGAGAATCGTGAAAAATATCTTCAACGGAAGCCCAAACACAGGTCGTTTCCGAGACCACGTGATGTACCTCAAAGGCTTCAATATGATGGAAGTTGTAAGTAATTACGTCAGAGGCTGGCCAGCGGGTTATTCAGGCGGCATTAAAGCTCGAAATGGAAAAAATCTATTGGTTGCCCGTAATTACCTCGACGACACAGGTATTTTTTTGTATACTCACAGAACAATCAATCCATGTCTCTTTAATGGTTTGAAGAACGTTTTCATCTACAGAAATCACATCGTGCAACGAACCAATCCTGGTCATCTCACAAGTGGTATCTATTATTACGAGCCCCATGATATTGGGATAGATTGGAACATCACTTACTCCGCTAATGTATTTGAGATCGTTGGAGTAAGCGACCCCACTAATTACATATGTATCTGGCTGACCAATGGCGATCTTTCTCAACATCACGTGCTCCAAGACAACTTCTATTATGGTACCAAAATGCCTGTGAAGCTGTATGCTGACGACAGTACTCCATTACATGAAACAGAGAAAAACAACGATAGTATTACAAATTGGTACAACTATCCACTGTACAAGCTACACATTCCCCCTTATTAGACAGTGCTAAATAACATCTATTGTTATTTGATTATCGAACTTTATTTGCATCGGTGATCGAAGAATTATCCTTTTTAAGATTACAGCGCTCCAGAAGGATTGAAGCGAGTGATGAAAGAATCAATTTTTTCTAATTAAAATCAAAGTGTTCAGTTTAATTATAATCAAAGATGGAGCCGCTCTAAGTTAGGAACTTGCGCGAGCGGATATTTTTACCCGATTACTAAAGAACTTCAAGTTGGGGGTAACGTAACTTAAAGTTTGAGGTGACGCAACCATGTTTCGAGGCGACGGAACTTGGGGCGACCATCCAGGAGGGCAATTTGTCTCGTACCCAGGCCTTGTGCGGCCGGCCAAGCCTTTATATCAGTTACACAGTGGGTACGAGATTAGGGAACGACATCACCTGTTACACCTGTTACCTATCAAATACTATTTTATCTTCAAAATTTTAATTTCTTGAAAGGCACAAGAAAGTTCAATTGTGTGCAAGTGAAGAGAAAAGTGAATTTTTCTTTAACAAAAGGTATACTGGGGCACTTCAGTACGACATAAGGGGGGTCGGGAGGGTGGTAGCGAGCAGCCGATTGAATGACTGATTGATAACTTTATTTATCTACAGAAAAGAACCCCTTCAACTTGATTTATAAGTAAAATATCTAATTCTGTTTGGCTATTCTATCAAATAAAGCAAGATAAATTCTGTCATGCCTGAGGCTGCTTTGCACATTAACATGGATGTTGCTACTAGCCTTTGGTGATTTGATGATTAAGAGTGTGTCCACGAAAGCACCAGGCAGTCTTGCTACGTGCCATCTCACTGATTCCAATGAAACTTTGCCAGTTTCAAGGGTCTACCCCAAAACTCAAAAAAACACAAACTGGTTTCTGTTTTGTTTTTTTTTTTTTCGGGGTGAAATGGACCACCCTCCCCTCCTGCATTTATCTCCCACGAAACGCGTGGGAGATAAATAAAATTTTTTACCTTCTCAGTTTGTTTCGTCAAAAACGCTTTTAATGTGAAGTCACGTCGACCTCGACAGAAAAGTTAGGCTCACCCTGTCAGAATCAACAGTTTGATAACGTAAATATCTAATAAAGTACGTCATTGTGCTTTTATCACAGTAATGAAAAAATTTGCATTTGCTAACGCTCGCCACATTTATTCTTTGGAAAGTTATTTTACGGGAGGGCAATGTCACTTAGCTTGGCCTTTCTTGACTCTGACTGACGAAAATTGCCGACGATGCGGCGAGGTGAGCCCCATGAAATTATTGTCAAATGTTTTAAAAACTTTTTCTACCACAACAGAAACAAAAGCTGGTCGCTTACAAAATTTCAAAATGACTTCTAAATTTTGCTAAATCTTAATTTTCTCGTACAGGGCCAACGCACCTTGAATGGGTCTTTTATTTGATGTTTTACTTCTATGTAAAGATTAGTCTCTATAGCACCCAAATGACTCAACATCGCGAGGTCGGTTAATCAGGACTCTGAGAACTGTCTTCCGTATTGTCCGTACACGATACGAAGGGGTCGGTGGTTTGAAACATAGCTCACGGAAAATTTCCAAACAAACGCAGCAAGAATTCATCTCTTTAATTTCCTTTTTGAAGCAGAGCGAAGTGGAGGAGGGAGAGGGGTGGGACGTGTAGGTTGGGGTAAGAATGAGAATTCCTCATGCGCACATGCGTGGACCGCATACAGACACTCCTACCACTTGCATCATTTATCCCACCACCTTGCCGCCTTAACAATGAACAACAGTGCTATCTGTTTTACTCTGTAACCTGGTTAAAACAAACGCTCACAATATTTTCTAAGATTTCTCTCAAGCTGTCTTTTATTTTAGCGTCTTTGAAATTACTACATAATCCCTTAAGAAACCTTTGCCAAAAATTGTATAAAGTGTGCTAAAAAACAAGAATATTTTGATTCCCTAAACAACATTTTGACAATGACCTGACTAAAAAACAATTAAATTACTATGCAAACATACATTATCTCCAACATTTCAATGCCTAAGTGACTTGTTGAACCAGTTTCAAAATATTGCTGCCGTCATTTTTCCACTTGATACTAATTAAGTTCTTGACCTTGATAGCTTTTTCCGTGGTTCTATTTGGAAATCCATCAATTTTTTTCCAACCTTTTAAGCACTCAGAAGTATTACTGGAACTGACAAAAAGAAAAGCTTTTCCTAAAGATTTTACATAAAAAATTTAGGATTCTGTTAACGAAACCTATAACAAAAGGCTTTGTGAGAAAACCCTGTAAGATTTAACTGGCTCGTTTTTGATGCTTAAACTACTGTTTTAACTTTCCTGATTTCACTTAACTTAAGAGCCCTAAGTCAATAATGTTTCATGCTAATTATATCGGCCGGATAAGATAATTTTTGTGCAGAAAAAATATTCTCGGATACGTAAACAATACCTCCTTCTGAGAAGATCGGAAAACAGAATGTAAAAATTGAAATTAATATCCATAATTTGAGGTTGCCCTTTCCTTAATTACACAATGAAATAACGGATAGAGTATTTTCTCTACTTATTCTATTTGGTTATCCATCTAAAAGTCTTTAAGGTCTGTTTCCTTCGTGCTATTCTCATCTTCTTTCCTGCAACAAACGTAAAAAAAAAAAAAAAATTATAAATAACTTAATAAACATTTCTTAAATAAAGGAAATACAGTTCTACCAGGCGTAATACGTAGGCAAATGTACACTTGCATCTGATTGGCACAGAGGCCCTTTCGAGATTCTATATTTTACATCCCACTGTAAGAATAGATTGTTACTCTTTGAAAGAAACAAAAAAGGGTATAAAACCAACTTTGATATTCAAGCTGACAAAGGATCACCGCCGACAGTCAGCGACCAGTAAGTTAAAGCCACATTCGCATCTAATTTTAACTTTAATTTATGAAATACCTGTCCTCACTGAGTCTTACCTCTGCTTGCCAAACTCGAGCCTCACATCATCTCCAATCAGCGTAAACGAAGCCCACTCAGACACTTTGGTAAAGCCGTTTTTCTCATCCACTTCATGGCCTGATGAAGGGATTCACCGGCACTTTCTCCTTCAACAAGGTGTTTGTAGAACCGACTCATCAGCTGCTCTGTTGCTGAGTCTGAAATGGTCCACAGCGCAACCAACACAGAGCGAACACCGGATCCTAAGAACGCGCGGGCAATTCCTATAACTCCCTCGGCTCTCATCTGTCCACTTCCACTGTGACAGCAGCTAAGTACCACCAGTTTAGCTCTGATTTTTACTCGTGAGACATCAGCCATCGTCAACATGTAAGCTTCCTGTGGTAGGATAGCGTTTCGACCGATAGGAGCAGGAATGGGAGAGAGGGCAATTTCTCCCCTCTCGGCGTTACAATGGGCCAGCAAAATGTATCAGGCTCACTGAACTTATCCGCTCAAGTACCGCCTGTTTCGTTGCTTTCTCGTCTACCAGAGGCGGAACACCCACCAATCGTCCGACCATCTCCGCTTCCTTTCTTGCACCTGGCAATGGCAGCAGCCAATCAACCTTGGGATTGCCGATTATCAAGGCACCAGTGTTGCTGTGATAATCCTCTGGACTATCTTGAATGATCTTGAGTGTTCTCAAAGAAGGAATGACACGAATCTTATGAGTCTCCGACAGGTATTCGGTCCCCTCCTTTTCACGGAGAGCAGCAAACGGAACTTTGTACAAACAGCGGTCAGGGACGATTATGACTTCAGGCTCCTCAAGGAAATCATAAACAGGGGCAATAAACATTTTGTAACACAAAGATAGACTTGAAATGACTCCTTCGTTCTCGTCCTCGTGTTCCTCCACGAGTCGCAATCTTGCTGAGCTCTTTTGCTCGGGGGGAGAGGGTTGCAAACAATCTGCCAAAAATTTACTTAAAGGCAAATCTTTGGGCAACCCAGCCTGAACTAGATTCTCTTCCACAGATATTGTTTTAAAGTGAAGGACTCAACTTGTTTTCAAGATCCACAAATGCAAATCATTTTGAAAATAAGAAACGTACAGACAAGCACAGTTATCTTCCTTTCTAGAGATGTCTTCAATGCCAAACCAAGATTGTGGATTAGCAGAGATGTGCGTTTCAACTGAGTACTTCTCTGCCATCAAGTCTGATAGGCCTCTAGCTCGAACCAACTCCTCAACGTAAAGAGCATGAAGAGCATCCCGAGAATTTCCGGTGGCACAAAGCAACTTACAAAGCAGCTTGTGGGTAAATGTTCCTGAGTCATCCAGAAATGATGTTTTGAACTGATCATTGGCACCCAAGAAAGATCTCAGCTCCTCATACTTTTCAATGCACAGGTAAAGACACAAAAGGAGTCTTTGATTTTATTTTGAAACAAATACAAAATAGCGTGCTCTTGAAGGATTTGGAACTCTTTTCTTCTGTCTCCAATATCTCTAGATATGGATAAAGCTTTCTCCAAACATACTTCCGAAGCTTCATAATCTCCAACAGTTCTAGACACAACTGCGAGGTTTGCAAGATCTGCTGCCTCCCCTTCCTTATCACCAATTTCAGTTCTGATCACGAGCGCTTTGTGGAGATGCTCTTTAGCCTTGTCGTACTGCCCAAGAGACTGAAACACAGTTCCTAGGTTTCCATAACATGATGCTTCTCCTCTTCTGTCGCCAATTTCAGTTCTGATGGCGAGGGCTTTTTGGAGATACTCTTTAGCCTTGTCGTATTGCCCGAGCGACTGAAACACAGTTCCTAGGTTTCCGTAGTCAGTTGCGTCTCTTTCTCTGTCGCCAATTTCCGTTCTGATGATAAGCGCTTTTTCGAGATACTCTCTAGCATTGTCGTATTGCCCGAGCGACTGAAACACAGTTCCTAGGTTTCCGTAATCAGTTGCCTCTCCTTCTCTGTCGCCAATTTCAGTTCTGATGATAAGCGCTTTTTCGAGATACTCTTTAGCATTGTCGTATTGCCCGAGCGACTGAAACACAGTTCCTAGGTTTCCGCAGTCA